CCTTCTCTTGCGGAGGCTGAAAAGAGGTCCAGGTTCTCGTCTCTCCTCGTAGGGCTTGGTCTGCAAGCCCTTAACCATACGAGTGGCCCTTCTCTGGACCCTCTCCAGGTTATCCGCATCCCTCTTGAAGTGCGGCGCCCAGAATTGCACGCAGTACTCCAACTGCGGTCTGACCAGAGCCCGATAGAGGGGAAGTATCACCTCCTTGGACCTGTTCGTCATGCATCTGCTGATGCACGATAAAGTGCCATTGGCTTTTCTGATGGCTTCGTCACACTGCCGACTCATGTTCATCTTGGAGTCCACTAGGACTCCCAGATCCCTTTCCACTTCCGTGCCACCCAGCAGGTCATTCCCTAGGCTGTAGGTGTGCTGGACATTTCTCCTCCCTAGGTGCAGCACTTTGCATTTCTCCTTGTTGAACTGCATTCTGTTGTTTTCTGCCCACTTGTCCAACCTGTCCAGGTCTGCTTGCAGCTGTTCCCTGCCCTCCAGTGTGTCCACTTCTCCCCACAGCTTTGTGTCATCTGCAAACTTGGACAGAGTACATTTCACTCCCTTGTCCAAGTCGCTGATGAAGACATTAAAGAGTATCGGTCCAAGGACCGAGCCCTGCGGGACCCCACTGCCCACTCGGTCCAAGGACCGAGCCCACTGCCCACTGCCCACACCCTTCCAGGTCGATACTGACCCATCCATCACGACTCTCTGGGTGCGACCCTCCAGCCAATTCGCCACCCACCGGACTGTGTAGTCATCCAAGTCACAGCCTCTTAACTTGTTCACCAGTATGGTCTCAGCTGGTCCCTGCCTGGCATGCCTTCAGCGTGTGCAACTCAGCCTTGATCTGACTGCACATGAATCAGAGCCTTTAGGCACAGGTTTATAAAAAGGGTGTCTCAATGCTGAGGTTTTATATTAGGGGAAAACTCTCAAGGTCTTATCATCGCTGGTTTAAGGAAAACCTCGACCCAAAAAACAGAAGAGACAACATAGGAGGAGAGTCAACTCTTAGTGCTTTCCCTAGGTTCACAGCCACGGTATTCAGAGCTAAACATGGGCTTGCGGCAGGTTTGCTGCTCAGTGTGATAGGAGCCCGCGCATCAGGCTGTCTCTCACCCTTGTACGTACCAGTCGATGGAAGATGTCAGTCACTTTTGCCTGGGAGAAGTTGGGAGATTTGATTTCTGGTCTCTGATGCGTTTTGGCTAAAATCAAAACCACAAGAGACATGTCACGGCTGTATGGATGAACTGGCAGGCACTGCTCATACATCAAGCCACCCGATGGACTCGGGACCGGGCACCAGCAAAGCTCAAACCATCTGAGACAGCAGGCTGGCAGGGCGGGCCCAGGCCCAGGCCCCCAGCTGAGGCAAATAAACAGCGAGGAGGGATGTGTCTTCATATTTTAAAAGGGCATTGAGTGCTTTGCGAGGCAAATGTCACAGGGTGGAAACGAACATTGCCTTTCACTGCCTCGGGATCTCCAGGGCACATGTCGGTAAGCAGGGAAACCCCGAGCGAGAGGGGAAAGTCAACGCTTCTCTGTTTACCAAAACGTACCCAAGAAATCTGATGGGTACATCTCTGTGTGAGGGTGGGGGGTGCAGCTAGGAAGGTGCTCCCAAGGCTGGAGGGGCCCAATCTTGTGTGGGAATTCCTGGGGTGCGCAGGATTGGGCCACCCCAAGCACCAGGAGAACACAGAATTAGAAAATGAGGGCTGGAAGGGACCTCAGGAGGTCAGATCTAGTCCAACGCCCTGCTCAGCTACATCATCCCAACTACATCATCCCAGCAAGGGCTTTATCTAGCCAGGTCTTCAAAACCTTCAAGAATGAAGATTGCATCACCTCTCTAGGTAACCTGTTCCAGTGCTTCACCACCCTCCTAGTGAGAAAGTTTTTCCTAATATCCAACCTCAACTTCCCTTGCTGCAGCTTGAGCCCATTGCTCCTTGTCCTGTCACCTGCCCCCACTGAGAACAGCCCAGCTCCGTCCTCTTTGCAGCCCCCCTGCAGGGAGGTGAAGGCTGCTATTCAATCTCCCTCTGTCTTGTCTTCTCCAGACTACACATGCCTCCCACTGTCCTGCAGCAAAGGGCAACGTATTTCACCCAAGGAAGCGGGTCAGCTGTCCCAGGCACACCCTGGTCTGACTGATGCCGCTTCCTACGGTGACGTTTCTACCCACAGACGTGCAAATAGTTGGCTCCTTCCAGACAGGAGGGACAGGTGGTCTCTCTAGCTTGGTTCTTAAACCATGTCCACCCCCTTGGTCCATGTGGCAGAGTAACCAGCTGCCTTTTTCTCACAGTCAGAAGTACAAACACTCCCAGCAAAGCCATAGACCCATTCGTTTTGCCAAGGACGGGATGGGAACTTAACGATGAGAACACGTCAGCGGTGTGCCCTACTACAGCACTTACGGTGAATGTCGGGGGCATCTCCGGTTTCGAAGAAGTCCTCCTCGTGGTCGATGTCCGAGTACTTGCTCAGCGAGCGCTTGTGAGCGAAGGAGAGCACCTCTTGGAGGATATCCATCTTCCTCAGGATCTTGCACAGCCCATGGATCCGCATGGCTTCCTCGTGCCTCATGATGGCCTTCTTCAGATGAGCCTTGCCTAAGAAGCACAGAGACCTTCACGCACCCCTCCATGCCACGTGACACTTGCCCCGAGCCACCGGTGCGTCTGTGCCAGGCCACCGCAATAACCTCACAGCCAGGGAACCAACGGTTTGACTTCCTGCATCTCTCGATATAAATTGGGAACGGGCCAGTCCCAGCTCGTGGCAGCACCCGCAGGGCTCCCAGGATGTACTCAACAGACACGACACGGAGCAGGTCCCAAGATCTGGCTTGGATCACAGGAGTGAGACAACTAGGAGCCTCCCAAAGGTCACCTGGGCCCCTACCTGTTTTGAGGCAGGAGGACTATACCTAGACCATCCCTAGCAGATCTGTCTACCCTCTTCTTAACTCACAGACAGTGACTCCACCACCTTCCTAGGGAGGCTGCTCCAGTACTTCACTGTCCTGACAGCTAAACAGTTCTCCCTAATATTCAACGTACAGCTTGTCTGAAAATTAAGCTACAGGCTTCTTGCCCTGTCCCCTGTGGATACAGTTAACTTATCACTATTCTCTAACAACCCCCCCGAGCATCACACTGTTGACTCATTCACGAGTCCACCCGTGCCAGTTCATTCTGCCGTTTTGGGGCCCAGCTAGTTATTGTATTCACCTGCACTGCCTTATTGCAGCCGAATGCCTGTATACCTTAAGTCCGGCGCTTTGCATGAGAAATTTCATGAAAAATTGCTGGTGGCTTTTCATGAAATTTCATTTTGTTAAAGTTCAACCATTTACCCAGATCATTTAGGACTCAAACCTTGTCTTCCAAAGCACCTGCAACCCCTGCCAGCCTAGTGTCTTCCAGAAATTAAGTGTCCTCTCTATGCCACCATCCAAGATAGTCATAAAAATAAGTGTGGATCAGAACCAGACCCTGCAAGATCCTACCTGAAATGTCCTCCCAAATCCTAAACAAGCTGCAGATCGCTACACTCCAAGCATAGTAAGAGAGTCTATCTTTAGCCTATTTCCCTCACGTGCTCAGGAGACCATCAAGTGAGTGTTCTCCAAACCCCACTAAAATTCAAGCTACACCACAACTGCTGGTTCCCATGTGTACTAAACCACTCCGCCTGCCAAGAATGAGACTGGTTTGACAGTATTTATTCTGGAGAAAACCCACACTGGCTGGTTTTTAAATCACCGTATTTATTCTGGAGAAAACCCACACTGGCTGGGTTTTAAATCAGCATCCTAACCTCCAGGTGCTTATAAGATGATTGTGTAATAGTTTATTCTAATCCGTCCCTGGGGCTATAATACTGTATAGCATGTTTGCCCTTCTGCAGGTGTCCCCTGTCATCTATGAATTCCCAAAGACAATTTCTGCTGGTTCAGAGATAGCCTCAGCTCGTTCCTTACGTGCTTTTGGGTGACATTCCCTGGGTTCTGCTATCTTGAATACCCGTCTCCTAGAAATACCCTTCCTATTCTGGTCTGCACTCCTATCCTCTTGCTTAAATGAAGTATTTGGCTGTGGTTAACCTTTAGGAAGGCTGAAGCAATAGAGGCACTGAATGCTTTAACCCTCTGTGCCACCTATTATTTACTCTCCTTTCCCTTTCAGTAATTAAGTCGCGTGATCTTTGGACTTCCCATCATACTGCTCTGAAAGTAGCTACAACCAGGAGCATGCAGGAGCATTTATGCTCACTAGTCCAACTCATGATGAGACTGGTCCAGCTAACGATGTTCTCCCCTTAAATTCTCAGAGTCACTGACCACTGGTACCAGTATCCCACCACTGGAAGGAATGGGAGAAAGAGCCAGGGACTGGTGGCCAATTATAAGCTGGTAGTTCCAGTTTCAAGACACATGGTGGCACCCTAACTCAGGAGTTATTCTGGATTTCCTCAGGTGTCACAAAAATGGGATCAAATTTTGCTGAGAAATGGAGGCAAACAAGCCTCTGTGCTGAAGGTCACTTATTGAGATGAACGTCACTGGGCCTTATTCTTTACTGAGGAAGGGGAACAAAAAATCATTGAACTAGACATGTCTAATGCTCTGTCAGACCAGACTGAATGAATACAGACAACGAGGGAGGCAGGAAAAGTCCACAATTATCTGGCGCACACAGGATCTCAGGCAATGCGACCTGGTTTCATGATTATTTTGCTTTTATTTTCCCCACTACAGTGCAGAGACACTCAGGGACTGAGTCAGTGGGTGATGCTGAGCAAGAACGTTCAGGACGTGTCCAGGCTTGCAAGTTCTCTGATAATTATTTTGTCTTTTAATTAATCATCAGCTTGGGATCCTGAGACTCCCTCCAGTCCCCCAGAGAACATTAGGTCAGGTTTCTATAGTCCCTGTTCAGTCAGCCATCAGCACTGGCGTTGCTTCCCGGAAAACTGCTTAGCTGAAGATAAAGGGTGCCCTGACCACTGGCTTCACTTGGTTGGCTGGGGGCTGAATGTTACGTGCTCAGTCAGGGGTCACTGAAGTTATAACTCAGCCACAACGGTGGTTTGAGAGAGATGCAAAACAAAGAGGGAATCGTAGTATGGATGTTTGCCACTGCAGCTTGCTCTCTCTCCTCTGAGCTGGGAGCAGACAGCATGGGGATGTTCAATTTTATTAGCATTAAAACAGGAACATCTTATCTTGCTGGGAGAGAAGTGTTAGAGTGCCAACTGCTCAGCTGGTGTAAATCATCATGAAATCAAGTGATGTTGTGCAGCACAATTTGTGCCACCTTACCCCAGCTGGGGACTGGCCCCTTCATCTTTGTGAGGGGCGGGCAGAATAGCCATTGTCTACAGTCCATACCTTTGCTTTTTTGCTTCAAAAAGGCAAGATGGGATGAATTCGTTTCTCACTCCCTTTGATGCTGGCCCCACCATCCTGAGGATACCCCACATTTAAACTCAAAGTGCCATCTCACAGACACTAGAAGCAAATCCACATCCCAATACAGTCCAAATAAAAAGGCTCCCAGTGAGTTCAGCAGGGCTGGATTGGACCTTGGGAGAGAGCTCAACTTTGGAAAGTTCCTAGATTACAGTTTCTCCCTGGTGCGTTTTAAGAGATAAGGGAAGTTTTCCTGCTTTTGTCTCCCATTCACCTTGCCGAGCCAACCCAGCTCTGTGAGAGCCAGATCTCGTTTCAGACTGCCAGCACCCTGGGAACTGAATCCTCATTGCAGGATGTTTCTTTGTTGACAACGTACGAACAAGAAAGTTCATCTTGGCACTCTGACCCTAAGGGGAGAGCTGAGAATTATGCATTTAATGTCTCCAGTTCTCCCCTTAGGAGGCATTAAGTAGAGACATTAAGCACAAACTGAGCAAATTTAATGTGAAATTATGGAGAAAGCAGCGTAGAAATCTGAAATCTGCAATGCATTTTTTTAAAAATAGGAGTTGCTGAACAATAAGTGGAGTGGTTTATTATGTTCCCTATCTCCAGCCTCTGTGAGGAACTACGGTATCTGACTCTATCGCTATTGTCTTCTTTTGGGAGTGCGAAGTGACAGTCATCATCCTTTTCACTACTACTTGCAGTGCTCTGAGGCATTGAAGTTGTTGGTAGCCTCAGGGAGATCATGCTTAGCATGGTGGAAGGGAGGGGGGGGTGGCACTATTTATTTTATTTTTTAAGTAGTCTGTGTCTGAGGTATCCTTGTTCCCCAAAGAAGAGGGGAGCAAATGTATTCATTTTTCATATCCTGGTGTGTGCATGTGTGTAAAGCAGAGATGACAAACTCAAGCCAGAGAACAGAGCTTGGTATTGTTTCAATCTCTTTAGGCCAGGATGTTAAAACAAAACTTCAGCTGAATAAACAGGACTGAAGAAGTGTCAACCCCTGATGGACTCTACCTAATAATCAGCCCATGCCCGACTGGAAGAGAACGTACGGGCAAAAGTTTGAGCACAGAAAAGGAGAATCCTGGCATCGTCACGTCACAGCCACCAGAGAACCTGTCCTTTTCAGAGCCACCAGCAAAGAACAGGCAGAGCTGTACAGACAAGGTCTCATCCTACACAACCATATGGCCCTGTGGATACTATCTTTACCTTGATCATTGCTAACAGAGCTATGTAGGATAAGCTGAATGTCTCCCAATTCAGGCAGCATTACACCCCTCTCTGATTGGAAGCAAATTGGCACAGCAGCTGCAGCAGAGCCAGAAAAAGCTACATAGAGTTGCCAAGAGCACACAGCTCTAAAGTCACCCTGGCAGCTCTCTGACCCAAGTCAGTAAACGTAAGTACGGCCTATGATGGCCCAATGGGGCTTTTGAGATTTGTGCATCAGAAAGTTCACTGGTGTGAGGCAGGCTGCTTACCCAGCTTCCTTCTCTCTTCCTGGTCTTGCAGCAGCACGCGAAGAGAAGGTCCCTCTGGCATGGTGACGTGGAACTGGATGAAGACTTTCTCATGCTCCGGGAGGTTGGCATCAGATGCCACTGTGCAAAAGAAGCAAGCACACACGAGTTCAGGAGATGCTCAAAGCATCACTTAGCCAGGGCCAGACAGACAGGGATTCCCAGGCAGGGGAAATAAGAAGCCTCCACAGTGAATATGCAGGAGCTGCCCACTTTAAAGGGTGGGTGCATTTATGGCAGTGTAACTATGCTAAAAACCCAGGGGCAGGGCACAGGACTCGGGATTTAAGGGTGCGGAAAGACTTGGAAAGAAGGGGAAGGAAAGAACATAACATACTCCTATTTTGGGGCAGGCAGTTTAAACTGCACCCATCGCTACAGACACATTGCAGGTCTCCTGGTTTTCCCAGTATCTTTCTAAAGCAGGTGTGTAAAAGAAAGGCTGATAATATTTATATCAAACTAAGTAACACAGAACCAAGATGATTAAGATTGACATGGGACACCAAAGCAAGGACTACCCGAGATGTGACCCCGGGGCCTTGACAACACAGACCCTGCCCTCCTCTGGGCTGGCAACGTTAATATTATGGCAGGTTCTTGGGGAGCCTGTTAATGCAAACAAGCCAGCACGAGGTGAGCTAGGGTGAGAACTGATAGCGCATTGTTACTCTGCAGTAACTGCCCATGGGCATGCCCCTGACCCACAGGGAAACTTGTGCCGCAGTGAAAGTGCATTGCACCTACCCTTTTCATTCCATCCAGGAAGAGCACACACCAACTGCTGAAGCTTCCTTAGCCTGATGAAGGGTTTTTGAACTCGAAAGCTTGCTTAATAACTATTCTCCAACTATTTGGGTTGGTCTAATAAAAGATATCAAATTCACCCAAGGAACCTTGTCTGCCTATGCACCTACCCTGCAATTCATCATGAATAAAGAGAGTGCCTGCAGGTGCCTACTGCAAAGCAGATGATGCGCAAACCTTTGCTGACCTCATGGGCACTCTCTCACGTACCCATACTTTCGGACCTGGATGCCTCAGTGCAAGGCACTGCCCTCACACGGGCTAAAAAAGCCTTTGCCCTAAGGTGTTTAGCACCCAAGCAGGAAAGCCAGGCTGAGCAATTAGATCAGTACTGCCCAAACTTTCAACCCCAGCCGTGAACCCTCTGCCCCACCCTGGTCCTTACCTGGCACTGGCCCTAGGCCAGATTGGGCCTGATGGGCTCCCTACGGCTCCAGAAATTTAGCAGCAGGGGAGCAACAATTAACATTGCCACCACTCCCCCACCATCAAATTTTCAAACCCTTGGGGATGACAGCTCTGTGGGCTGGATCCAGTTTCTGGCCCAGGGACTGTGGGCCTCCTTGGATTAGATTATAAAAGCCAAATGAAATCCTCCTTGGAGAGGTGAAATTGAAAGTTTGCTGTTGATTTTAGCATGAGTAAGGCTATTCAGAACAAGGCCATATATGTGGGGGCTTCCTCAAGTATTCACTATTAAAAAAAAAAAAAAAAAAATCAAATTCACTGGAGAAAGCTCTGCCTCCTGCTGGGGTCTAGCTCATAGTGACAAAAGGGGACTACCCATGATCCCAAAGAAGGCAGGTCTCAGGACAAAGAGACCCTATGGACAATGCTGGACACTTGGAATTGTCACAACCCAAAGTTGTGATTTTTTGATTGTGTGTGCTTCGGCACCGCTAAATTATGTTCCCACTAAATTGCAGCTCCTTTGTACGGTGGAGTTTTCTGCAATAGGAGAACCCGCGTGCAGAAGAGTGTTTCCCGCCAGTTTGAAGCTTTCTTTGCATGGTGCATTTCTTTTGCATTATAGTGATGCACGGTGCAAAGGAGTTCCCGCCATTTGTATTTAGATTCATGCCACAGTATTGGCTGGTTCTAAATTATGCACACGTGGTGGCTAGCGATTGGCTTGCTAGCCGTATAAAAGCTTGAGTGGTTTCCGCCCAAGAGGACTCCACGAACACCAGGAGAGAGAGACATGGAGAGGGTCACACTGCTGATCCCTTCGAACCCAACGCGTCTCTCTTAAGAAGGCAATAGAGGCTTAATTACTGAACCGAACCCGCGGAGCCTTAACAACTCCGGAGGCCCAATTGCTGAACGGCCTCTAGCCTCTCCCCGTCGCCGAGCGCAATCCTAGACGTATCCCTATCCTATATACCCAATTTTTGAACCCACGGAGTCTTAACAGCTCCGGGGGACCTGGGAACCGAACAGAACCCACGGAGATTCAGCAACTCCGTGAGGAAAGAATTGCCGAACCCGCGGAGCCTAAACCACTCCGGGGTCAAAGAACCGAGTTTGTCAGAGTCCTCCAACGAGGACTCAAGCGAAGCTGCGCCTGGAAAGCTGTCCAGCCTACACCGCGACCATCTTCGGTGTAAGTAAATAATCTTTTCAATCAACCATTATGCCTCCGTGACTGATTCTAGCACTTGCGTACCAAACCGCTCCGCGGTTTTCTCCGGCCCTGCGTGCCCGGGCTGCTGGCCACAGCCTGCGTGCACAAAGACAGGCCCGGCTCGCACCTGGCAAGGACGGGATCGGGAGCCGGCCCGCACAGGAATGATCCTTGATACAGATCTGTCTTGTTACAAGCCCTTCAGACACCACATCTAGTCTTTGCTATTTCTCAAAAATTTATTTTTCAGCCGAAGCTGCTGTTACTGCATTTTGGTTCTGATAAACTTCAAAAACCCCTGCAGAGGAGACTGCAGGGGATCTGAGGAGATAAATGAGCCAGAAGGAGGGTTCCTGGTCTGAGAAAATCCTGGGGGCTCAGTTAGCCTGGAGCGAGGGCAGGGTAGAAACAAACCCAGAGACTCTGAAACCCCCACTCACTAGCAGTACCTGCAATGCCCACCTGGTCTGAAGTCGGCAGCCAGGCTGACATGCCAGATACTGACTTTTCCTTTGCAAGCACTAGCTGGGGATTAGCACTTGACATAAAGAGCTCACTGATGGCCTGTTACTCTGAAGAGGGGTGGATTCATACTCGTACTGACCTGCAAGACACCCACAGCCTTTCCAAAACCTAGAGTGGACAGGAAGCAGCCATGTGAGTCTCCACCACTGACCTTGCCTTGCTGTTAGCAAAAGCAACTGGTGTGTATGAATGGGGCATGCATTTTAGGAGAAGTCCAGGAAAGAGGCTCAATGACACCCAGCAAGGACAACTAGGCTTGATACCCTTTATCTTCTGCTTCTCTCACTACTGACTGAGCTCCCCACAGCCATGTTACCCTCAGTTCCTGAAGCTGCCTCCCAGCTCTGACCCACTAACTCAGAACCCCTTTTTCTCTTGCCCATCACTCTCATTTGCAACATGCACATGGAGCGAGTCAGCATGTAACTGCTCAGGGGAAATCCAAGGACGCTCCTTAGAGCAACCGCCCAACTGCAAGCTTCCTGCTCCCTCGTATCATCCTGGAGGGCTGACTCTGTGTATGGGGCAGCAGATGGATTTGAGTGCTCTGAAGGAGGAACCAGGCCTGGCTGCTATCAGGCACCTGTTCCACTGCAAAACTAATGCTGACCATTTCATTTTTGAAACATGTTTTTCAGATGTCTGACAGTTATTTTAATGCGACTCAACTCAAACATGCTCAGCACTGTACAGGCACGTAGGAAGAGACCGGTGGGGACTATCAGGTGAGGAGGAATGGACCAGACATACGACTTCTGGTTCCCTTCCCATTTTGCAGGTAGGAAATGGAATTGGAGAGACTCTGGGTGGGTCTATGGGGCACACTGCAACATTGTGTTGAAATATCCAGGATAGCTCTGAGTGAGCTCCTGTGCCTGCACAACCTAGTAAAATGCCTTGCAGACTTACCAGCTTAGGTCCTGGAAGCAGTATCGCTGCATCCACACAGTGCCCCAGAAGGGCTGAACACTGCATTCAAGGGGGGCTACTGCTCCTGGCTCTGGAGCTAGCTCAGCTGGCAACTACAGCACCATGTAGATGCACCCAAGTGACTCACCTGGGGTCAGGAGTCTATTAATACTCTGATTTATTTATAGGTATGTCTCTGTCTAGGGTAAGAAGGAAAGGCAAGGGGTCAGGAACTGCAACCAGACAGGGAGTCTCTGTGGCCAGGCAGGGAATTGAACCCCAGCGTTTCAGATCCCAGTCACTGCCATCATCCTAACATGGACTCTTTGAGGACAACAGTTCTCTTGTCTTACCGTGGCAGCTTCACAAAGACAGCATGATGCACACACTGGCACTACTAAGGCCAGCATGCCAATGGGAGTGCCTCTTATTGCAGCTGCACTGACAGTCCACTGACTGTCACAGGTACTACCACCTCTCAGCAAGCCAGTTGTGGCTGCTTCAAAACACAGTGCCTGCTGTCTTCCCTCCAGTGTTAAGGGCTTTTTTGCAAAACATTTGTACAGGCAGCACACAAGAAAGATCCAGATGTACCCCTCCACCCACGCTGGTGTCAATAAGTGAGGTTACAGACCATGCTGTTTGCAACTCAGTGTTTGTACTTCCTCTGCATAGCCCTTATGTTTCCTCCTTCTCCACACTGGATCCTCAAGAGGTCCAGCATTCAGCTGCTACTGTGATCTGAGCCACAGACAGCACCTGAGACCCGAGTGAGTGTAGGGCCAGCTATAAGCAGTACTCACCGGGGCAGTCGCAAAGTGCAATGGCAGTGTAGTAGTGGGACAAGGCCTTGAAATGCTCCGACTTGACGTGGACCATGGTGGTCCAGGAGAAAGGAACGTAACCCTTCACGTGGGCCTGCGTCATGGTCTGATGCACCAAGGAGTAAACATCTTCAACCTGTGAATGTGAAGACACAGGCAGTCTACAAGCAAGTTCTATTAGAAAAACCAGCTGCTCTGGGAGGCTTGCGGGACAGGCCAGTAGCTTCACTGCTTGAGATATGTGTGTCTAGGGTGGTCACAGCACTAAAAAATGGAGGGACAAGAAATCCAGAGTTGGAAAGGAGTGCTTGGGTAATCAAGCCCCCACCATCTCTTACTTTCTATAGTGCAGCTAACCGGGTTAGGCACCAAACTCAGTATGCTCAGGGTCACTATACCAATACTTAGCATTAGTTGGCCATCATTACCTAAAGAGCTCAATCTTCTGTATGAGGGGAAACAGAGAGCTACTGAGTGACGTGACAAAGACCATGGTGAGACTGTGGCAGAGCTGGGAGTAGAGCCCGTGTTTCAAGGCTAGTGTTGGATGCCAAGTCTAGAAGACTGGGGAACTGCATTGCAGTCTGGCTGCATTTAATGTAGTGCTTGGACCAGCGCAGTAGGAAAAACAAAAGCTCTCGTGCTGGCGACTTGGACGACGAGGTGAAGAGCAGCCTGTTTAAATTTGCAGACAACACCAAAATTTGGGGTGAGGCGGGCACGCTAGAAGGGAAGGACAGATTACAGGAGGACCTGGATAGGTTACAGGAGTGAGCAAATGAAAATAGGATGGGATTCAATACCGACAAGTGCAGGGTGCTGCACTTGGGCAGTAGGAACCAGCAGCATACCTATAGGTTGGGGAACTCCCTTCTCGAAAGCACGGTGGCAGAAAGAGATCTTGGAGTCATTATTGACTCCAAGATGAACATGGGCTGACAATGCGAGAACACGGTCAGTACAGCTAACCGTACCTTGTCTTGCAACCACAGAGGCATCACAAGCAGGGCCAAGGAGGTGATCCTCCCCCTCTATGCGACACTGGTCAGGCCGCAGTTGGAGTACTGCGTCCAGTTCTGGGCGCCGCACGTCAGGAGGGATGTGGCCAGCATGGACAGGGTTCAGAGGAGGGCCACCCGCATGATCCAGGGACAGCAGGGCAGGCCCTATGAGGAGAGGCTACGGGACCTGAACCTGTTCAGCCTCCACAAGAGAAGGCTGAGGGGGGACCTGGTGGCCATCTATAAACTTACTAGGGGGGACCAGCGGGGTTTGGTAGAGACCTTGTTCTCCCGAGCGCCTCCTGGAGTAACAAGGAATAATGGCCATAAGTTGCTAGAGAGTAGGTTTAGACTAGACATTAGAAGGCACTACTTCGTTGTCAGGGCGGCTAGGATCTGGAACCAACTTCCAAGGGAAGTGGTGATGGCTCCTACCCTGGGGGTCTTTAAGAGGAGGCTCAATGTTTACCTGGCTGGGGTCATTTGAGCCCAGTTTTCTCTCTTGCCCCGGGCAGGGGGTCAGACTAGCAGATCTATTAGGTCCCTTCCAACCCTACATCTACGAATCAGCCCGAAATGGTAGAGGTAAGGAAAAAGCTTGGCCACCCATTTCCTACATGCCCTGTCCACACAGCACAGGTATAAGAGACAAAGTGTTGTTCAGAGGACATGCTGCAGCACTGTTCCAAGCCAAGGCATCCCCCTGGCTCAGCACCTGCCTCAAAGTTGTCTTAGCATGGCAAGGAAACATTGGCTATTACAGGGCACTGGGGAGCGGGCAGCTTATGATCTCCACGTCTATTTTGGTTCTACATGTAGCCCATGTATCTGGGTGGGCATTTAGTGTGATGTATGCAAAGTGGTGCAGGGGGCTGGTTTAGGAGCTTACCCACTGTTTCGGGTACATGCCTAATTCTATCACAAAGATTAAACAGTGCTGTTATAGCAGCACCATCCCTGCCTTAGCCCCACGTGGCAGGGGATTCCTTTAGGGTTTATGGAACTGGGCTTATTTAGTCTAAAGAGAAGACTCGGAGGGGATTGAATAGCAGCGTTCAACTCCCTGCAGGGGGGTTGCAAAGAGGATGGAGCTGGACTGCTTTCAGTAGGGGCAGATGACAGGACAAAGAGCAATGGGCTCCAGTTGCAGCAAGGGAGGTTTAGGTTGAATATTAGGAAAAAAACTCTCACTAGGAGGGCAGTAAAGCACTGAAACAAGCTTCCTAGAGAGGTTGTGGGATCTCTATCCTTGGCAGTTTTTAAAACCCGGCTGGACAAAGCCTTGGTTGGTATGATGTAGTTGGGGCTGGTCCTGCTTTGAGCAGGGGGTTGGACTAGATGTGACCTCCTGAGATCCCTTCAACCCTCGTTTTCTACGATTTTATCTATAAGTGTACAGCAAATGTATTCAGTTAAGTCAAGTCCTGGAGTGGGCTGCTTGCACCAATTAGCTCCTCTGCAGGGCTGGCTTGCTGCTGCATTTCACACGCTGGCCCAGTGAGCACATCCAGCCTGTACAGCTTCGCTTGCTCATAGCAGAGATGACAGCTTGCTGCAGCGTCTTCCCAAACCTGCCCCTGTGGGCTTGCCACACCCCTGATCACAATTGGGCTGCATCTCCTCCAAGAACTACCTTGCTTCTTCCATCCCCGATGATTTTCCTCTCTTCCCACAACCCCACAGCTGGCTCTGTTAAGACACAAAGCTTGTGCTGAGTGTGGAGAACAGCAAGGCCCACATACCCTGGCGGCTTCCTGTGCGATCTGCAGCTGAGTGAGGAAGTCGTCCTGGGCGTGGATGAGCGTGACTTTCTCGAAGACGCACTCCTGCACCTGGGCAATCATCAGGTGCACCAGCATATTGAGGGAGGGGGCACTCATGTCCAGGCTGGGTGCGTTGGAGAAGTTCTCCTTCAGGTAGTTAAATGCACCTGCATAAAGGGAAGAGGCTAGAGGGAAATGCTCCTCAGGATCCCTCTGTTATCATTTGGGAGTAAAGGGAGGAAGTGGCCGTGTCTGTATCAGTGAGACTAGTGGGTTTAGGGGAGCAGCATTCCCTAGGTACAAATATGCCCATCACTTCACTCTGGGGTGCTCTCATCTCATGACTCCACAAAAGAGGGGATCCATGATAGCACCAAGGGGAGTGCGTCCACTCCTCTTTGGCGGGGATATATGCGCAGCAAAGAGGACTCGTTGCACATGTGTCCCACAGCCAAGAGGGTGCAGCTGCTGCCCCTTGCTGTGATCCTGCAGGCAACCAAGCTCTGAAACCAGCAGCAGGGGAAGAGAGGGGATGAGCCCCTGGGCTCCAGTGCTGCATGGAAGCAGGGCTTGAGTTGCTACCAGCCACTCATCCCCTCCTGTCCCTTGCTGCCAAAATCAGAGCGGGGAGGAGGGAGAGGAAGAGTGACTCTATCTCCACATTAAAAACAGGTCCTGCTATAGTGGGGGAGCTACAGGTCAGGAGTGGGCAGTCTGGGGTGCACGCTACACAAACCTTTCAAGTCTCTTGGGGTAACAAGCAGTGACACTGTCCCAATTTCCCCCTGAAAACTGAACACACTAGCGCAGCTCCCAGCAGCCAACGTACCAGCTGCCTTCTGAAAGGCGTCGATGGCCCGATCAACCCCCTGTAGTGTGGTGCGGTCCTGGCGTGCCCCGATCTGGGTGTGCAGAGCCCCAATGTTGAAAAGCACACTGCCCTTCTCGAATGCCAGGGCACGCTGATGGGATGGGACTCCTGTCAGCGAGTCGTACCTGGACAAGCAGAGGTGAGGAGAAACACCACTGAGTTAGTCATGGGCTGATGTGCTTGGGATACATCCAGGGTGCAACTTAATGTGGTGAGAGGGGAAAAAGTTTTCAACACAATGGAGAGAGTGAGTGGGGGAAGGATACCACCACCTCTGTGAATGCTCATTGTGGTAGAAGGGTCAGTCAAACAGAGTGGGGACTGGAGATTTCTACGATGAATCATTCAGACAGGAACAAAGCCATGGTGCAACGTTGCACCGGGCAGCCTGCACCTCTCTACCTGCCAAACCCAGGAGCTGCCAAGCAAGATTTGGCAGGAATCAGCAGGTCTCTGCTCCTTTGCTGATCATCATGCCCAGAGCTCGGTTGCTCTGGGCTCAGGGCGTAGTCACGTTCGGCTCACCTAGGAACAGGCATTGCATGTGCTCGGATCACGTTTTGCTCCGACTGTGTGCGACTCCCAGCCAAGACTCACAAGGCATTTGCAAACTGGGATTAGCCTGCAACGCTGAACAAGGCAGGCAAGTATTACAGCCCCATTCTGCAGCCCTCAGTTAAGTGGATTAAAGCATCTTGCTCAAGACCACATGAAACCACAGTGCTGGGACCAGGACTGGGATTCAGATCTCCTCGCTGATAGGGCCTATTTTTACCAACAAGGACAGGCAGGAAGAAGCAGATCTTCAGGTTGTTACAGCCTGGAGTTCTGTCTCCATTCAGCTCTAGACCCACTCAAACTAGCGATATTTAAAGCACACGCATACACTTTTAGAGGACAGAACAGAAAAAAAACCTCACTAACCAGTGGAAGAAGACTCCCAGGTTTTTACTGGGAGGGAAGAACCGATTGTCGAGAAAGTAGAGCTGGTTGTAATACTCCATGAGAAGCTCCAGCCCCGCCTCGTTCCGGCTGGGTGTTCGCATGGCCTGTGCAAGAGTAGGGAGGGAGTCAAATGGAGACAGGAAGTCTTGGCCTTTAAACACTGAGGGGTGAAGAAGAGGCAGGAGCACCAACAATTACCAGACACTCACGCCTAGCCATTTCTTAAGTGCCACTTTAGCTACGTGGAAGTCTTAAAAGTGAGCATGAAAAAGTGCATGGGTGGTGGCTTTGGCATAGAGGGATGAATTTCATCCACAATTCAGGATAGGAGGTGCTGAATGAGGCAGGGGATGGGTGGAAAAAAACAGCATGCAGTCATGCAGCATATGACTGACAAAATACAGACACATGTACGACCAGAATGAACCAGGGTTTGTTGGTGACCTCAATTCCAAAACTCCCTAAATGTGGAGGGCTTAACTTTTTGGGCTTATCTTTCTTGCAGCATAGATGATTTTTGGATATAATCATATACACCCAGAGGTGACATCACTCAACTCACATGAAAATCGGAGATCATGGGAAAGGCAGCAAGACAGAAGCACAGCTCCAGGTCATTTCATTAGGGCTAAGCTTAGCAAGCTGAAAGCCAGTGGTGTTTTACTGCACCCTAGTTCTTCCAACAATGCTAGCCTTGCAAAGCTTGAGGAAAACCCAGGATATCTGGTCAAATCTAGATGTGGGGAGCACCTCCTGTTGGCTTCAAGCAGCAGTTTCAAAAAACAAATGGTAACAGATACGCGATGGAGTTCCATTACAAATGGGTAGCTCAAACGAGCGGTCCTTTCCAGATTTCTCCAAGACTGCGCTTCTCACCGCCCTGTTGCAATTTGCTGAAAACTCATGATCGCAGGGTGTTTTTTTGGTTAAGTAGTTTGGACCCTCCCCCTACATCCCATTTTAATCATTCCCCATTATGGCCCCAATCCTGTGGATGGAGCCATTGCATCTGCCCAATTCCAATGATGTCGGGGGGGCTGCAGAGAAAACACTTAGACGACCTCAATTATAGGACAGGGCCTTAAGAACTCCTTCTCTCTCCATTCAGAAAGGAAAAAGATGCAACTAGAAAGTTAAGACTTATTAGATCTACCTGCAAAGGGAGGGTAAGAGTTCCCTTACAAAGCCTATTCTACGCTTCCTTTTAGCCAACGTTACTTTCACTTTTTGCCGAGGACACAACGGTCGTTTACTCTTGCCCTGGGGATGAGTTATAATTCATTAAACAATAATGACAGATTGCTCAGCTTTTATTGCTGTGCAATCCTAGGTTAGCAGGGCATTAAGAGACTCCATTACATTGCAGTGAAGCTGTCATTTTATGAGCTAGACTATTTTGTAAAGTATAAACTGCTGCTTCAGTGTTTTACGGTATGCTTCAGGAATCCAGTACCTCAAAGATACAAAGCAATACTGGGGAGGCGTGAAAGAGAAGTGGAAAGGGGACTCCTAGAAAAGTTAACGGCTTGTAAAGCAGTGTCTTCTGAGGCAGTCAAGGCAGGGAGGTGCACAAACCTGCCGCAGCTCCATGAACTCTCTGATTTCCTTGTCAAACAAAGCTCCATCCTCCCCGTAGTGTTCGCAGATGAAATCCTAGGCAGAAGAAGATAAATGCATATACTGGGTTAGTAGTGTGCCCGCTGAATGATTTTCACAGGGGACTCGCCACCCACCGAGCGAATGAACGTCTGCCTTTTGTAGATACACACCACACCGTGCTAGGAGACAGCTCTGCACACTCGACACGTGTTTCTAACCAAGCCACACTCGGACAAAGATGCTATGGGAAAGCAGCTGGACTCCCAACACCAACACATTTAGGATAGTTTAATATTTTTTTCCACAGCTTTTATCACCTCCAGGCCTCGCAAAACTCTATCACTCACTGATTTACGTGCAAGGCCTTACAGTCAGGCAATATAAACAATGAGAACATTCAGAGCTTCCCATATTTAGATTCCCCTCCAGCCATATTTATTCAAGGCCACAGCTGGCCCACATCACACGCAGCAACCCGACTGACTCCAATGGGCTTACCCTCAATGGTACCATCAGGTCCAATTCCTTCGTCTCCTTCAGTCCCAGAGGAATCATAGGCACGCTGATAGCTTCACTGAAAGAATGAGATATGTGAGCAATTGGGAGACACAGTCACTACCTTGTAGGTGAGAGAGAACCCTCTTGCTTCAGGAATAAAGGGACCAGGAAGACAGGGCATTGCATGTCAGCTAAGGTGCAGTGGGATGGTTTCAAACAGCTTGCTCAAAAGCAGCCTGCACTGCCTGGTGTCAGGCATGAAATAAATCTGATCCCGTGAGGGCCTCTCTTTTATGGGATTCTCTTGCTTCAATGGCAGAGCAAACATTTCACGTTAGAGCTTCTGGAGTCCGTGGCTGTATTTCACAACCGTGCTGATTCTGCTCCATCAAAATCGAAGGCAAAACCCCCATTTGACTTCGCTGAGCCCAGGTCTCAAGGGAGCAGAGAGAAGTCAGACAAGTGAACGAACTGAACCCATGTCAGAAACAGCTTTCCACTTTGGAGTGGGATGGGACACATTCCCAAGCCCTGCCACTTATTTGCTCCCAGATCAATATATTTTACGATGAAAGGACTGTGCAGCTAGAGCCAAGCTTCTGCCCTGATAGTCAGAGCTGGATGACAAACCTGAAAACCTTGATGCTGGGAGTTTTGGATTCTGCATTACCAGGTTTGAAAGTTTTCAACTCCAATGATTTGATACCGGTTATCTCACAGATACAGGTCCCAAAGCAGCGCACACTGCTATAATTCCATTCACCTGATCAGGAGTTAAATTTTTCCCATTTACAACAGCTACAAGTACAGAATCAGGACCAACACACCTCAGATCAGTGGGTTTGGGATGCATCTGTGCAAAGTACTAAATCAGCCACAGCCATGGGTCTTTTGAACCATTCAGGGAGGGAGATTTAGAAGAAAGATCCCACTACAGGTGAGAAAGTCAAGAGGAACAGAGAAGCCACCAGCCCTTATCAGCACACACACAGCTGCGTCTGTGATGGGCACTATGTGGTTAGAGGATCACTGCCCTGCAAAACCACCATTTCCCCCATGTACCTGTCACCGTTTGTTTATTTGGGAACTTATCTAATCCTCTTCACAGGCCATGTCAGCATATAACCATCTATTCAGCCTCCCAGAGGAGTGGTTCAAAGAGACAGGAAAGGCTAGTGGAGAGAGATGTGGGAGGGGAGGGGAAGGTCACGCAGGGTCAGAACGATTACAGACAGGGTTTAGACAACAACAGGTTCTGTAACCCAGGACTCTCATTAACACCAGGAGTTTATCAGCTGTTTCTGAAATATCACAGGCTAGTGGAAAAAAAAATGGAGGGCAGGCGTGGAAAGCAAGCATCCATTTGTTTGGTCTGTTTCTATTTACTCAGTCCCTGAATCAATGGCTTCACAAGAGCTATAATTAGCAGGGAAAAGTGGTTATCGCTTTTTCTCTAATGAGATTTCAGCCTGGGACAAATGCGCTGAGTAAACAAAGAGGGTTTGTTCGGTTTGCGGGGTTTTTTTTATAAACTACAGTAAACAGGGCCATTGGAGACAGTGACAAAAGCTGGGAGCTGGGCACTTTCAGTGTGGGACCCCACATCATTCAGAGAGCTGGGAATCATCTGTCCTCACGGCCGGTGTGTACTGAGGACAGGATTAGAAAAGAGTCGGCAATCCTTACATACTCCAAGGAGCTTTTAGGCAAAGAACCTGTATAGAAGAGCCCTTCACCAGGTAAACAGCCACCTTGCAAAAGAAGTAATGAGAGAAAAGGATGCAGAATTAGGGCTGCTCACTAAGGAAAAGGGGAAATGCCAAGCTCCAGAGAGTCAACCCCAGGATACAGTAGGATGGGCCGTGCTTCCTTACTCCTTTCCAGCCCCTCACGTCTATGAATCTAGTTTTGGTTCCCTCTAAAAATCACACACAGGTATGATACCCAGTCAGAAGCAGGGGGGAAGGCTGCCATTTTATTCATGAATGGCAAAACTGAGTCACTGAGGGAGCAGCTCATGCTTTACCATTTTTTCACCCTGCAAGAGGGTCACACGTCTCCTCCCTTTTGCTGCAGAAATGCAACTATCCTCTATCAAGAAAGAACAGGAGGGATTAAGAGAGCTGTGCAGACAGCTTTGCAGGGCAGTGAGGGAGTGCATTTCAAGCTTCGAATCTGCTGCGACATCTCTGGTAGTTTCACCTCGGGGGTTGCTTCCCTTTTCACCCAGACAAACAGCTCTGCTGAGAGGTCCCAGCATGTCAGCTTGCTGCTGGCTACCATGCTAGGATTACTGCTCCTGTGAGTCAAGTGGATGAGGTTGCTGGGTTTAGCATTTCAAAGCAACAGCGTGCTTCAATTAATAAAAGGTCTGGCCTCTAAAAACAAAACAAAAAATCAGATGGGGAAATAAAAGCGAGTGAATAATCTACTTCACAAGAAGCAGAGCAGCAAGAACAGGCAGCCAGGCACCTCAAGGGCAATGCTTTTAATTACTCTCATTAAATACCCAAGCTTCACCTGCAGTACAGATCACACTTGAGGGAAATTTGATCTTGCAGCCTCTCTGGTTCAAAGGGAGACATTAAATCTACTCCTGCATCAGCCCTCTTGTACTTGGAAAACAACATCCAAGAAAGTGCTCTACGGATGTTAGCCAAGAAAGCTCTGGGTTAGCTCACTGATTTTACAGCTGGAACAATCCCGGCGGAGAAAATAAGAGGTAACAAAGCAGGTCATCTGAACAGTTGATCCTGCCCTGCAATCTCTAAACATCTAGCTCTGTGCTCTGAGTGTTGCAGAGTGCTTTCTGAAGGGACAGATCCAGATTAGCTTAGGAAAGCAAGGCAACAACTTGACAAAGCAAACAGATGCATGGCAGGAGCAGTGGGAGTAAGGGACCCTCCGATACAGCCCTGGGCTCAGCTTCTCCAGATGCAATCCCTTCGGGAGGCAGAGCGCCAGTCCATGAGCAGACCGTTGCTTGACCCAGGTAGCTGGATAATTAAAATCTAACCACAGACTTCCTCCACAATTAAGCCTTCAACACCTCCCCTGAAGAATCTACAGGATAACGAGGTCTCTCCATGGCTTTCCAGGACAGGAGACCCCAATTTCCATTGTATACAACTACTGAGGCTTTCAGCAGACCAAGGTTACTGATAAACAGGTTGTTATATCAGGCCCATCCCCACAGTGGAAATCAATCAGTGTACAGGCAGACGTGTCTTTGACCGCTCTCTCTATTCCTTCAGACCACAGCATTGTAGCGGCTCTCTCACTCAGCCCAGAGTCCTCCGCACAACCTACCTGTCGTTCTGGTACACATCCATGCAGCTGTTCAGCTCCTCCAGTTCCTCCTTCAGTAACTGCAGGTTGGAGTTAACGTAGCTGAGCTCCAAGGCTACTGTTTCCTTTACTTTGTGGTTACTGGTGGCTCTGAAAAATACAAAAAACAAGGCAGGTCATGCTTGTCATCAGGTATTCAGTTAAATGCGTACAGGGCTAGAATAGGGTCTCCCTTCCTCACCCCATGAAAGATCCCATCCAAAGCAGTGGGCCAGCGGTCTACAGAGCAACTTTTGGTGGTCCGATAAGCAAAAAAAATCCGAAGGTGTTGGGATAGGAGGTGAAGAATGGGAGATGTTAAGTGGTCAACAGGACAAAAGCCAATCATCTACCATGTTAAAACCACAAGCCTTCAGGACCCAGTATACCATCTCACATGCATGTAGGTCATTTCAGAGCCTCAGAGGACTTTCCAAAATACAGTGGTGAGCCAGGAAAGTCGTTTTTCCATTTTACAGACTGAAAATGGGAGATAAGATTTGAAGTTATCTAGATAATGTATTCCAGCTCTAAACTATGCTCATACTTTGAGTTCTTTCTAACATCCAGTCTCTAATCCTTATTGCAATGTAAATCCACTACTTCTTGTCCTATCCCCTGTGAACAGAGAACAGTGGATCACCATCCTTTTTATAACAACTTTTTTTTTCTGTATATACTGGAGGACCTTCCCTTCCATCTTCTCTTTTCTAGACTAAGTAGACTAAACAGTTCCTCATACATAACAGACCTTTTATCATCCTTAGTGCTCTTTGGACAATATCTTTCTCAAAGAGGCGGTGCCCCAAACTGGGCACGCTATCCAGTACTAATGAGGCCCTCATCTGGAGTAGAGGATGAATCACTTCCTGCGACTTACAGGACAATCCTGTTCATATATCCAAGTGTGGTATTAGCTTTTTTGCAACGTTTATATTGTTGACTCATCCAGCTTGTGATCCACTATAACCCCAAGATCCCTTTTTGCAGTGTTGTAGCTGAGCCAATCATTCCCTATTTTCTGTCCAATGTGCAAGACTTTATATTTGTTTTTATGAAATATCATCTAACTTCAGGCCATGTCTTCTACAGAGCCTGCCACCCCGCCCATCTTAGTCTCATCCACACATTTACTAAGGACACATTCATTTCCATCCTGCAGTCATGAATTTTTAATTGTACCAGACACAGGACAGACCTCCGGCGAATACCACTTGACATCTCCCCCAGTTTAGCATGGAGCCATTGATAACCACACTTCGAGCATGACAATTATACGACTACAAGAGACCTCAAGGGTTGTCCAGTTGAAGCCATGCACATGTGCTATTCCTAAACCATCCCTGATCCATGCTTAGCCAATCTCCTCCTGGAAACCTTCAATGAAGAAATTTCACAAGATTTCCTGGGCAGCCCACTCCACTGCCTTACTGCCAGACAAGATCCTAGTCTACACCCAACTGGTTGTGCACCTACCTTACAAAAGCTTCATTTAGACCGTCTCTCCTAAGCTTACGTAGGAGGATCCCATGGGAGATTGAACCAACAACCTTACAAAAGTTGAGGCAGATGGCATTCGCTGGTCACCTCCCATCCACAAGGCCTGTCACCTCATCACAGACACAAATGAGGCATGACTTGATCTCAGCAAGTTTGTGCTGGCTATTACCTGTCACTTTGATATGCTCCGAGGGCTTAGAGATGATAGGTTGATATGTTCTAGTAGCTTTCTGGGGAGTGAAGCCAAATTGCCCCCCCTGTAACTTTCCCCTAGGGCTCCCCTTTGTGCCTCTCTTTCCAAAAAGAAAGCAAACGATGGCCCTTTTCCAACCCTTGGGAATCTCACCTGACCTCCAGGAGTTTTCAGAGAAGATGGACATGGCTCTACAATTACTTCAGCCAATTCCCTCGAGTACTGTAGAGCAAATCTTATTCAGACATATCTATCAGTAAATAATGTAAATTCTCTCTAGTTCTCTCTCTCCTCCAGGTTGAGTGTCTCCTCCCCTGCCCTCCATACTAATTATCTAATAATGGGCCTTTATTGTGAAGACTGTATCAAATACTTCAGCTTCTTTTCTTTCATTCGGTATCTGCTTCCCCTCCCAGCTCAGTAAGGGGCCAACACTTTCCCTGGCTTTCAGATGCAACTCATTTATAGATGCCTTTTGTTACTTTTAATGTGCTTTTCTAGCTGCAATTGGCTCTTCTGATTTTCTCTCTTTCTGTTTGCCCTCATTGCTATGAAGCACAGTTTCAAAATTCTCTAAAAACTTTTTTGCCGCTGTTGACAGTAGATTGAAAGAAAGGCGATAATGAGAACGGACCAGGAGACTGAAAGCCAAAATAGGGACAGATGGACAGGAGAGCTCCCGAAGAGGGAAGAGACTCCATGACGCGAGGTACAGGCCACGTCCTTCACTTTGGTTGCTCTTAGGAAATAATTATCTCTGGCAACAGCTGGAGCATATAGCACTTTGACATCAGTCTCCTGAACTGCTCTGCTACAGGCAGCAACATGGAACAAGCTGCTCTCAGACTGCTTTTGAGTGAGACTGCAAATATGAACTCAAAATTGAGAATATTTGATTTATAAGACAAACACACACGAGCACTGGTATTCATCTCCACGGGACTATCAGAATTCCAGTGTGGTCCAAGTGCCATATTTGCTTCAAGATGTAGTGGGGGGGGGGACAAGGTAACCCTATCCAAAATGTTAACTCTTGCATTTCCTGACACATTGAAAGTTATGCCTCCTTACTTCTGCACTATGCTGGGTTTGAACATGGTGACAGGATACAGATGCCCTGGGACAGGGGATGCAAGAGGCCCTTGACAGAACCAGACAATGAGGGCTGGAAGGAGCCTCAGGAGGTCACATCTAGTCCAACCCCTGCTCCAAGTAGGACCAGTCCCAACTACATCATCCCAGACAAAGGTTTATCTAGCCGGGTTTTGGAAACCTCCAAGGATGGAGATTTGACCACCTCTCTAGGTAACCCGCTGCAGTGCTTCACTATCTTCCTAGTGAGAAAGTTTATAGGGCGGGATGATGACATTCTTGTGAACTGTTCGCACTTTCCAAACCTTGCTCTGAATAAGGAATTTGTAGTTTCATTGTGGGGTTTCCTATCATGCTCATCACTGCAGTAGCTTAGTGCTTCACAGTTAGTCCTCTTTCATAACTCCCTTGTTAGACAAGGGCGTGTTACCATCCCTACCGCAGAAATGGTAAACTGTGCCGCAGAGGGTTTATGGCTAAAAGTGTCTAGTAGTTGTGGGTACTCAGTTTGATGTGCCCGAGACCTGATTTTTCAGAGTGCTGACCCCTGGATAGCAATATCTAAGCCAAATGCCCAGCTCCCATTGAGTTTTGAAGCCCTGAGAATATCTACGAGTCGGACTTCAGCAGGCATCCGGACTGTGAGGATCATCACACATGAGACACCAACATCATGCCCAATATTGTGCACAAACTTTGGGGTAAAGGCTGGGCTCTGCTCCATGGCTACAATACCCAATACGCTCCTTTCTCTTTCTGCAATGCTCTTCTTTATTCACCAAAAGGCTTCCAACCTCTGCAGCAAATGAAAGCAGGTTCCTGTAGACAAACACCTCCCTCCCTACACAATCACAGATACGGGCCTTTCCTCCAACCAGCTCTATCCCATGCCATGAAGGCCTATGGGGTGAGGGGAGAAACACGGACTGTGTGTGTAGACATATCAATGGGATAGGATACGGTCAACCACTGAAACCTACTTGCCAAAGTCTATAATACGATGACACATGACTACCACCTGGTGCAGCTCATCTGCTTTCTTTTGGCAAATAGACATTTTTAGGTAAACTGTGCAAGAAATGGAGCTGCTGGAGACTACAACAAACCAGCCTCCCACAGGGTAGCATGCTAATGCCAATCCTTTTTAACATATATACCAATGACCAACCCATACAGAATAATATGAGGAGCTTCATATATGCTGATGAGAAAGGACTTAAACCTTCTGTGGCTCAGTTTAACATCTCTGCACAAGAGAAAGACTTTCCCACTGTCAGGAACAGATGGATATACACGCTGAGCAACCTCTCAGATGTCTACAATAAGAACCAGCTTCATACAAACCCTACCACAATGAAGCCTAACAGAAATTAAACATCATCTCAGATGCAATCCCACTGACTAATCACCCGAACCCCGTGTACTTGCGGGGGGGGCAACCCCGGTGTTTGGGGGGGGGGGGGGGGGGGGTCATTAGACCGAAAACTTACTTACCTTCAAAGCACTAGTACAGAAAATGAAAGGGAAAGTCAGTGCCTGCAACAACATACTTTGAAAGTTGGTCACCTCAAAGTGGGGAACAAACCCAGCTACATTACAAACCACTGCTATTGCCTTGTGTTACTCTACTGCAGAGTATGCATGTCCAGTCTGGGAATGAACAGTTCATGCCAACAAAACAGACCCAGTTCTAAATGATGGGTGTCGTGAAATAACAGGATGTCTAAAGGCAACACCAAAGAATAGCCTGTATTTCACAGATTCATAGATGCTTGGGTTGGAAGGGACCTTAGCAGATCATCGAGTCTGACCCCCTGCCCTGGGAAGGAAAGAGCGCTGGGGTCCGATGACTCCAGCCAGGTGCATGTCCAGTCTCCTCTTAAAGACCCCCAAGGTAGGAGAAGGAGAGAGCACCACCTCCCTTGGGAGCCCGTTCCAGATTTTGGCAACTCTTACCGTAAAGAACTTCCCCTGATGTCTAACCTAAATCTCTGTCAGTTTGTGGCCATTGTTCCTAGTGACTCCAAGGAGTGCCCTGGTAAACAGAGCATCTCCTATTCCTTGCTATCACCCACTGATGTATTTGTAGGTGGCCATAAGATCCCCTCTCAGTCTTCTCTTGCGGAGGCTAAAAAGATCCAGGGCCCTAAATCTCTCCTTGTAGGGTTTTGCCTGCAGGCACCCAACCATATGAGTGGTCCTCCTCTGAATCCTCTTGAGGTTATCCACATCCCTTTTGAAGTGTGCCACCCAAAAACTGGACACAGTACTCCAGTTGCGGCCTGACCAGTGCCGCATCGAGGAGAAGTATCACCTCCTTGGACCT